TCCAGCTGTAGTGTATAACATTCCATGTGGATTTTGAACCAGAATGGAGAAGGGGAAGGTCAGCCTGAAACCCAGAGAGATTCCTTGACTGTGTGTTTAGCTTGAGAATTATGGTCAAGGTTTGCAGATGGCCAGCTCTCTTCCTGACATCCTACAGAGAGCCAGGCTTCATCTCTTATGGTTAGATGGAGCTTCTCCTGCCAGGGAAAATACAGTTGCTGGGAGAGTGCGATTTGCATATTATATCTCTGAAAAACTTTCATAACACCTGAGTATTAGAGGTAACCAAATTGCCTCAAGAAACTGGTAATACTGGTTGCCTCTGGGGAGTGGAACCCCTGGTGGCTAAGGGTGAGAGGGAGCTTTTTTGTTCCTTCCCAGTGTGCCCCTTATATATGAAGGCAATCTGGGGCCAGGGATGGAGCAATTTCTTTACTCAAGACTATAGGGCTGGGAATTCCCTGGCGGTCCAGTGGTTAGGGCTCTGTGCTCTCACTGCTGAAGGCCCGGGTTCAGTCCCTAGTTGGGGAACTAAGATCCCACAAGCTGTGTGGCACTGCCAAAAAAAACCCCCACAAAACAAAAAAAAACAAAAGACTATAGGGCTGAAGTGGGGAGCTGGAACAGGGATCTAAAAATCAGAAGAGAGAAAAGTTGCAGTTGAGTGGAAACCCATGACCAAAAAGGGAATTCAAGGTCAGCATACCAAAGTGGCCAAAAGCAGCTATTGGAGGGTGTGGTCCAGAACCAGAAAACAAAGCCCAGGGAAACAGAAGAGCAAGAGCAAATTGGAGAATAAACTGAGTGATATCTGAGAAAAGTCAAGGACAAGGGCCCAGGGCATGATGGGTGGAACCCTGAGATTATAGGATCAAAAAGCTCAAGAGGCCTAGGCAGCAAGGTGCAGGCTGGGCAAAATTCATGTCAGAAATAAAACAGATTTGGCAGGTGGACAGATAAGGGGTACTGTTACATGAGAACTCTCTTGTCTGAGGACACTCTTTTGAGATTATGCTCTAAAAACTGGTGTGTAGAGATTCTAAGCAGCCATGTGTGAATGGTTTGCTCTGCATGAATATTTTTACTTCCCTCCAAACTTGAGGCTTCCTAGGGTTTATTATCATCTTATTGAATATTTTCTGAGAAGCCTTACAAATGGGCAATGGGTTCAGGTAGTGCAGTTCAACCTGACTACCGCCCAGGACATGATCTAAGGTAATAAGTTAAGTCCTTTTCATTACAGCTACTTGTAACAATTTGAATTCACCCCCCTGATTACCTGCTTCTGGTTGCTTTGCGTCCAAACCCTGTCTGGGACAACATGGCTTCCAGTATCCTACTCTCCAACATGGTCTTGGTCCAGCACCTTTGGCAGGGTCACTCCAGCCCTGTTTACAGGACAGGAATAAATCCAGAAATAAGTTCTCTCAGGACCTCTGTGTTATCACAGATTGGAAATAATGCCTGTAGGTACTGTTGTGGGAACCTGGCCTGGGCATAGGGGCATACAATTCTGCAACAATTACCCCCTGGGCTGAGCAAGGATTAATATTGGTTCAGTCACCAAGTGGCCAGCTGTGGCGGCTTTCTTCCAGAAGTGCAGTGTCCCTGTTGCAAAGGCCTTATGGGGAGTCCAGGGCCTTATCTGATGTAGGAAGATGTAACGGTCCTGAGATGGAATGTCTAGAAATTGCTAAGTAGGCAGACGTCTGTGAGCTGTTGCTTGGTTTGAGAGCTTTCCTGAACAATATCTTTTATTTGTGAGATAAGGTCTAAGTTTCAGAGTGCCTCAAAGCTGACAGGTATTAGTGGGAAACCTGTAAATTTTTGAAGGTGATAGTGAAAAGAACTAAAAACAGCTGTGTTGAATAAATGTTGGGCCTCTACTATCAACCAATACTGTTTACTAACTTACCAGTTAAATAATAGGAATGTAAGAATCCTTGGGTTAAAACATAGACATTGGCCAATCCTGTGAAATGCTGTTACTAACCATTCCCCCCACCCAACACACACACACACACACTCTCTCTCTCTCTCTCTCTCTCTCTCTCTCTCTCTCTCTTCCACCAGGCATTCTGAGATGTTTCCAGTCTATGTGGTATTACTTGGAACCCAATTGGGAAAAGTTCCATTCCATAAATCCTGGCAGAGCCAGAAAGAGATAAAGGAGTCTCAACTAGGAAAGACTGCTTTTTTGGGGGTTTGATGAGAAACTTAGATAATCAAATAAGTAGGCTGTTATATAAACCTATCCACAGACTCAGGGGAAGCAATTTATAAACTACTAGAGTTGGGGGCGGAGAGAGGAAGCAAATCATCCCAAATTATTTATCTTCTGTATAACACCATTATCTTCCTCTTTGGACTTTGCTATTTCAGCCAATAGTGCCCTCATTTTCCTACTGATGGAGGTTTGGAGCCTCATGCTGTTCTACCCGCCTGGGAAGCATGCCCTCATTTCCTAGCCTCCTTGTCCCATCCTTCCTTACGGATCCAGTCCAGGAACTACCTCATCCATGGAGTCCACCCAGCCCTTGGTGATCTTATTTCATAATATCACACTGTCAATGCTCAGCAGTGTTCTAAACACTGCAGGTGCTCAAAAAAAACACCTGACAAGGTTGATATTAGTTACTAGAAACAGGCTGCTGTGTGGGAATCAGCATGTAGGCAGCAGACTCCCTTAATTCAAGATCTAGAGTGTCACCTCGTCTTCCTCCTCACATATCACAGCCTGAACCTTAGTGCCCTGGTTTCTATTTTCCAGGACCAGATCCTCCTCCTCCATCAGAGGGGATACACCCAAATGAGGGGGGGCGGGGTTCCAAAGCACAAGACTAGAGTGAAACAAACCCAGCACTTCTGTGAGGGGTAGGTCTGTGAGAAGGTCAGGACGGGTGGCCACCCCCTGAGTTCTGAGGGGCTCCCACAGAGTCATTTGGGAGGGATCGGCCCTTAGCATTGCTCACTATGTCAGTATGCCACTGCCCTCTGCACCATACCTCAGGCCCTGACTGTGAAGCAGGCTGGAACTGTAGGCCTTCTTTGGGGGTCCTCTCAGCAGAGTATGCCTCCCTGGGCACAGAGAGAGAGACTCCAAGAGGTCCTGCTCCCACTTTTCATTCGTATGATCCCCTGAGGCAGAATGCTGAGAACAAAGGAAGAGGACAGCCACAACAAGCTAAGGTCTGGACAGTGAAGAAAAAACTTGGTAAGGGAAAAAAAAAAGAAAAATCAAGCGCAAGCAAGTACCAGAAGGCAACAGCCAGAAGTTCTTCAAAGTTGTGGAGAACAGCAAGGAAGATGGCCCAAGAGTCCAGCAAAGAGTAAGTAGCAGGGCCATGACATGTAGAGAGGAGTCGTAAAGAAGCTGAAAATAGATGAGCGGCAAATGAAGGTGCCTAACCTTGAGGCAGCTTTCTAGTTTGGGTTCAGCTACCCCAGATTCCTTTCACCACGGTGTGAACCAATCCTGAGCCGCCCTGCTGGGAAGGCTCGTTGAAGATGAAGTCTGCAGCAGCTGGCTGGCAGGATGGATTTTGGGATGGGATACAGGCAGAGACATTTCCCCACCAGCTTCGCACGGGAGATGACTCCATAGTTCATAACTTGTTACTTTTTCCCTCACACATGAGCTATTTCTCCTAGTTTCCTTTGAATGATCAGACCGAAAGTCAAGTTTTCGAGGTTTAGGCTCATCCTTCAAAATACCCGATATAACTTTTGCAGATACCTTCCTCATATTCAAGTTTTCTTTCAGAATGAGCCTAACGGTTTCTTTATCTAAATTTAACTCTTCGGCCATCATCCTCACAGTTAACTGCCTATTCGAACAAACCAAGTCCTTGACCTTCTGGATATTTTCATCCGTCCGGTGGGTGACTGGACGACCACTTCGGGCATCATCCCGAATGTCTTCCCGCCCTTCTTTAAACCTTTTGTGCCAGTCGAAAACTCTGGCCCTTGACATGACTTCATCCCCGTAAGCTTCTTTTAAAAGATGGTGGGTTTCACTTGCAGACTTGTTCAATTTCACGCAGAATTTGATACTAATCCTTTGTTCTAGATATCGGTCACTCATTTTGGCACTCAAATAACACAGGAACGTTAAAATGCCACGAGTGTGAGGGGAAGACAGAGGGACCAATCTCTATAGGGCTGCAGGTGGAATCATGTCGCTATTCTTGCTCCTCTGAAGCCTCATCAGGGAAGAGTAATTGCTTTTCTGAGTTTCAGCCCCTCGGCTTCCAATGTAGAAGCTAACGGGGCCAAACAGTAGCTGCAAAGCTGGGGAAAATGAAAGCTCCTAGAACCCACGTCCAATTCCGCGGCACGGAGATCTGCTGGGGGTGTGAAAACCAGTTACTGAGGCCGTCCCGTTCCGCGGCCCTTAAGAGTCTATGGCGATTTCCGCAATAAAAGCCTATGTGGTGTTAATTTAAGCAAGCAAGAAGCGATGCACCGGTGATGTAACGTGCAAGCTCGCCCCAGACCTGCAGAAACCCGCGCACGCGAAACCTACCGGAGCTGCCCCGGGATCCGAGTCTCTAGAGGCCGGGAGACACGCCTGCAAGCGCCAGTCCCTCCACTCTCGGGGTAGGCCGTGCGCAGGCGCACTGCGGCAGCCTGGGCCAGGCCCCGCCTCCGCCTCCGCCTCGCCACACCCGAGCAGGCGCGCTTCTTTGCGCGTGCCCACCTGCGGAGAAGTCGGCGGAAAGGAGGGGGCGGGGGAGGAAGGCTGAGGGAAGAGAGGGCACCCCCGGGCGCCAGGGTGCATTGTGGGAAGGAGGCGGCAGCGTCCCGGGCGGGCGGGAGGTGCACCAGCGGCGGCGGCGGCGGTAAATCCTCCCGGCCGCTCACAGCACTGTCGAGCCGCATCCCCAGCCCGGCCTCGGACCGCGGCACCCCTCCTGCCCCTCGCGGCTTCTCTCCCGCCCGCCCCTCCCCCCGGCGCGCCGGCCCTAACGAGCCGGCCGGCCGGCCTGGCTCCCCTCCCCGGCCCCGACGGGCGGGCGGGCTGCCCTGAGGAGGCGGGGAGGGGAGGGCTGGGCCGGCCGGCGGGCAGACAACGATGCCGAACTTTTGCGCGGCCCCCAACTGCACGCGGAAGAGCACGCAGTCGGACCTGGCCTTTTTCAGGTTCCCGCGGGATCCAGCCAGGTGAGCGGTGGGCGCGGAGCTGGCAGCCCGGGCCCTCCTCCGCGATGCGCGCTGCCAACCGCCGACCCTGGGCAGGCTCCGGGACTAAGAGGGGCTGGGGGGGAAGAGTTGTCGACCCCAGTCCGGCTCTGAGGTGGGGAACGGGCCTCTAGCCGTGGGCGGGGTGGCGCTCGAGGGCCTTGGAGCACGTGCGCCCGCGGGGGCTCGGCGCGTAGGGCTCCACCCGAAATTAGAGGCAACTGGGGTGGCGCGGGCGGGGTAAGGTGGGTTCTCGCCCTGATGAGCTCGTGTGACCTCGGACAAGTCTCTGTCCTCTCTGGGCTTTAGTTTCCCCAGCTGTCAAAAGAGGGACTTGGACTCTGTGGTTGTGGTCACCGGGGCCCTTCTACCGCTGGGACAGTGTTTCTTTTTGGAGTCCGGCCACCGTTGATCTCAAGTCAGGTCACAACTACTCCCTCCTTCGGACTTGTTCATGGTTCAGATTCTGGCTCTGACCGTTACTCATTATCTCACTTGGTTAATGTGGGGATAACGGGGGGTGGGGCGGGGTACGGGAGGGCATGGGAGTTGGTATTGAAGCCTCTTCTCTGAGGTAACCCACACGCTCTGACTTGTATTTAGAGAGTGGTAGAGTAGGGACTGTGTTTGAAAGGCTGCGGATTTTTTCCTTGGCATCCCTTGTTGATTCATTTCATTTCAAATCAACACCTCCTGTGTGCTAGGGCACTAACATTAGAGGTACTGGAAATTCACAGTGAACGAGGTAGCGGTGCTGCCTGCAGAAAGCTTACAGTCCATTAAGGAGGCAGATATGTAAGCAAGCGATTATAATACAGCATGCTGTTTATTAGTTCTCTAAATATCTATCGAAGGCCTATTAGGTACTAGGCATTATTCTGAGTACTGGGAGGGTACAGATGAATAAATCGAAGTCCCTGCTCTCATGGAGTTTACGTTCTATTGGGGTGAAATAAGTAAATATACCTTGTGTCAGACGGTGATAAATACTATGGAGAAAAAGCAAGTGTTTGATGGGGGATAGGGTAGGGGAATAGGAGTAGCAGGGGAGCCACGATTGCTGTTTTAAATAGGATTATCAGAGAAGGCTTCACTAAGAGGGTGTATTTGAACAGAGATCAGAAGTACGTTAGGGGGTCAGCCATGGAGGTATCTAGGGGAAGAGCATTTCAGTCTCTGGAAACAGTAAATGCATAAGCAGGGCATGCTTGTTAGAGGTCAACCAGAAGTCTGGTTGGACTGCTAAAGCTGGTTTAAGGAAGGAGGGAGAGGAAAAGATGAGACCAGAAAAATGTGTGTGTATATGTGGTAGGGGCAAATTGTGTAGGCCATTGTAGGCGATGGAAAGCACTATGGCATTTATACCGAGTGAAATAGGAAGTCGTGGAAGGGTTTAGAGGAGAGAAACGTATACTTTAAACAGGATCACTGGGTACTTGTTAAATACATTGTAGGGAGGCAGAGGTGGGAACAGAAAGGCCAGTTAAAGGCAATTGCGATTATCGAGGTTAATAGAGGAGGAGGTGGTGAGTAGTTGCATTTGAGATATATTTTGGAAGGTGAAACCAACAGGATTTGTTAATGGTGTAGATGTAGGTTGTAAGAGAAAAACTGAAGTCAAGAATGACTCTAAGATTTTTAATCTGAGCCTTTATTGAGCTATGGAAGACAGGGAGGAGCGGGTTTGGTGGAGGAATATTAAAAGTTTGGTTTAGGACATGTGAAGTTTGAGAGGCCTGATAGACATTCAAGAATAGATGTCTTCATACTGTATACATCCATGAACTCAAAATGGTCCATATTTAGATCAATGATCTAAATATTTAAGAGCTAAAACCATAAAAAGATATACAAGTCAGGAATTTATAGAGACTTCCAAACTGGAGATTGTAAATATGGGTGTTCTCAATTTATAGAGGGTATTTAAAACCGTGGAACCAGGTAAATAAAGCAGAGTAGGCCTGAGGATTGAGCCCTGGGAGATGAGGAGGAACTAGCTCAAGAGAGTGAGGAAAAGCTGCTGGGTTCTGTGGGAGCAGAGAAGAGGAGCATCTTAATCTGACTGAGCCTCACTCCATTCAGCATTATGTTCTTTTGAGACAAATTGGGAGTATATTTCACTTGCATAATGAGGGCACCACTAGTCAATTCTGAACCACAGGTTGTTCATGTTCATAGGTAGTGGATACTCTATTCATTATACTTCTTAGTCAGGGAGTATGTCCTCTAGGGGCTTACAGTCTCAGATTTGGAAGGAGTTTTTAGATCTAGTGCAGTATCCTTTGAAGTGTCAGAATTCCCTCAAGAATAGTGGCTTTTAAACCTTTTTTGGGTCTCTGTCCCCTTTGGGAATCTAATGTAAGGACCGTTGAGAAAAGACATCGACACAATTTCATATCAATTTTTTTATGGACCCTTTAGGGATCCTGCGCATTTCTGACAGGTGAGCCTTTGCTAAAACACCCCCAGTGCCAATTTCTCTGCTTTGTGAGGGGATACTTGAGGATTCTGGACAGCATTGGCTATTGTTTCTTCCTTTTATTGAGTGGAAATGTGCCTCCCTATAATTTATGCTTGGGAGGTCCTAGTTTTGTTCTTAGGGTGACAATGAACAAAGCTGATCCCTGTTTTATTTTATTTTTAAATTTTATTATTTAATTTATTTTTGGCCTCGCCATGCGGCATGCGGGATCTTAGTTCCCCAACTAGGGATCAAACCCATGACTCCTAGAGTGGAAGTGTGGAGTTTTAACCACTGGACCGCCAAGGAGGTCCCCGGTGCCCTTTTTATGTAAGAGCCCCTTGAGTATTTCAAGACCAAATTATGAACTTTTCTTAATTTTTTTAAAAAAACATCTTTATTGGGCTTCCCTGGTGGCACAGTGGTTAAGAATACGCCTGCCAATGCAGGGGACATGGGTTCGAGCCCTGGTCAGGGAATATCCCACATGCCGCGGAGCAACTAATCCCGTGTGCCACAACTACTGAGCCTGTGCTGTGGATCCCGTGAGCCACAACTACTGAAGCCCACGCCTAGAGCCTGTGCTCCGCAACAAGAGAAGCCACCACAATGAGAAGTCCGTGCACCGCAACGAAGAGTAGCCCCCACTCTCTGCAACTAGAGAAAGCCCGCGCCCAGCAATGAAGACCCAATGCAGCCTAAAATAAATAAATCAAATAAGTAAATTTATTTAAAAAGAACATCTTTATTGAGCTATTCACATACCATGCAATTCGCCCATTTAAAATGTGCAATTCAGTGGCTTTTGGTATGTTACATTATTAATTTTTAAATTTTTGATAAAAATATACTGTTGTCCCTTGGTATCTGCAGGGGACTAATTCCAGGACCCCCTCCCCCACCGCAGATACCAAAATCCATGGATGCTCAAGTCCCTTATATAAAATGGCAGTGGTGGGTTTCCCTGGTGGCGCAGTGGTTGAGAGTCCGCCTGCCGATGCAGGGGACACGGGTTCGTGCCCCGGTCCGGGAAGATCCCACATGCCGCAGAGCGGTTGGGCCCGTGGGCCGTGGCCGCTGAGCCTGCACGTCCGGAGCCTGTGCTCCGCAGCGGGAGAGGCAACAACAGTGAGAGGCCCACGTACCGAAAAAAAAAAAAAAAAATGGCAGTAGTATAACATAAAATTTGCCATTTTAACCATTTTTTTAAAACCATTTTTGAGTGTATAATTCAGTGGCATTAGTTACATTCACTGTGTTCTGCACAGTTCACTATCTATTTCCACAGCTTTTTCATTACCCTGAGAAAAACTCTAACCATTAAGCAATAACTCCTCATATCCCAGTCAACTTTTCAGTCTCCATGAATTGGTCTGTTTTAGGTACTTTCTACTTATACTATGAGTGGAATCATACAATAATAGTCCTTTTGTGTCTGGCTTGTTTTACTTAACAATGTATTAAAGGTCTTAACTTTTTTCTGAACCAAAGGTCAATACTATAGGATTTCAAGTTCTACTGAATTTGACAGTTTTTTTCCACTGTGCCCAGAGTTAATTATAATAAAGGAGTACAGTAGTTTCTAGAGTTGTTTATTGAATTAATAACAGTATTCTTAGGGTTAGTGATTATAACTAGTTTTTTTTTTTTCTGTAAACGGGTTGTAGGGAGGGTTGATAAAAGGTGACATTGCCACCCTACCTATTATTCAAAAGTTAACTCACATTGTTAACTAACAATAAAGATAAGTATATTTAATGCTATTAAATAGTACATTTCCCATTCATATTTATAAATGCCTTGCACACTTTTAGAAACAGCTATTTAGAGGTAACTTAAAATTCAAGAATGTAATCAATAAACAGCACTATGTGGAATTTCATACCCTAATATCTCATATTGGTTTAGAAAAAGTGGCATTAATGTACTTTTTAAAAAATATAAAATAATAGAATCAACTCACCTTAGGACAGTGGCAGGGAGATAGATTACCTAAAGTTAAAGTTTAAAAAAAAAAAGCCTAAATCATGATTGCCCCAGGATGGCTTGACTAATTCCCAAGCTTGGCAGGAACCTGGCGGCAGGTTACAGTGGAACTCATCTCCAGACCAGGTAAAGGTAGAGCTAATGAATTGCTCTTATTATTAGAGAGTGTTGGGCAGTTGAAGGGCTCTCCTTCCTCCTCAGGCAGTTAGTACTGACTCATTCCTGAGCTAGTGAGGTCTTCCAAGTTTCTTTGGTAATTTAATCAAAGTTAATTGAGAGTTGATGTACTCTAAGATGTACAATGTAAAACGGTGGTTTCCCAGGCACTTGTGAGGGTCTCCAAGACCCTTTCAAGGAGTCTACAAGATAAAAACTACTTCGTAATAACACTGATATTATTTGCTTTTTTCATGCTCATTCTCTCAGGAGTGTACAGTGGATTTTTTTTAGGGGCTACGTAACATTATGAAATCACTGCTCAGATAAATTATATTTTGTGTTCTATAAAATTTTCTAAGTATGATTATTCAGATGC